AAGGTCCCGAATTCCATCCCCATACCAAAGGGGGAAAAAGACGCTTAAAGCCTAAAGAAAATAAAAGCTTAAAAGCAGTAAGAGGGGCTGGGAATGTAGCCCAGTGGTGCTGCGCCTGCCTGGCAAGCGCAGGGCCCAGAGTTCGATTCCTAGCACGGTGGGCGGCGGGGGTGGGGGTGGGTCACAGAATGGATGGGAAATCACTTCATTCTCAGACAAAGGGAGCTAAACGAATTTATCATCAGCAGCCTACCCTAAAGAGATGACCTTTTAAAGGAAATTCTTGAAACAGAAAGGAAACTTAGAGAAGAAATCTTGGAATAACAGGAAGAAAGAATGTGGCAAGCAGAATGTGGGCAGCTACAGTAGACTTCCCTCAAAAGCCGTAAATTACCAAATTCAACCGCAGTGAAGTAATTTGAATTATTCTGTAACCACTAACAAAATTTAATTTACAATTGGGAGGGGGTGAGACAGGGATTTCCTGTATATCCCAGGCTAGCCTTAAATTTGAGGTGATCTTCCTGCCTCAGCCTCCTGAGTGCCGGGATTATAGGTACATACCATGATATCCAGTAGAATTTGTGTGCCTCTGAGAGAGACAGAGAGAGGGAGAGACATACTAGGGACCAAATAGTCCTTTTCACTGAGCTCACATCCCTAGGGCCCGCCCCCCATTTTTAGACAGATTCTTATTGAGTTACCCAGGCTGGCCTCATACTTGTGATCCTTTCAGTAGCTTGGATTTGGGGCCTGGGCTAGCATGATGGGCTTTAATTTTGCAGAGTTTTTAAAGTTCTTGAAAAAGAATCTTCCCAGCCCAGAGGGTTTCTCTAGAGATTTCGCATCAAAGATTTAGAAGAGCCAAAACCAATTTTATGCAACCTCTTCCAGAAAATATGCAGAAAGAATGTTTAGCAACTCATTTTATGAAATTAATACCAAAACCAAAGAGAGTATCAAAAAAAAAAAGAAAAGAAAACTGCAGGCTAGTATCCCTCAGAATATAGATGTAAATGGCCACCACAAAATATTAGCATACAAAATTTAGCAGTAAATAAAATGAATTATACTTCATGACCAAGCAGAGCTTATTCCAGTGATGCACGCCTGTTCACTGTTAGCAAATCTTTCAACACGATCTCCCATCTTACCGATCTCCCATCTTACTGTAACAGACTAATGAAGAAAAGTTACCTCCTTGTATCAGAAGCAGGTCAAGCACCTGACAAAATTCAACAGCCATTCATGATAAGAACTGAAAAAAGGAATAGAGGGGAACTTCCTCCATTCAGTACAGAGTAGCGACCACAAGAAACCCACAGCTGGTATCATAATTAGTGCCAGAAGACCGAACATCTTCCTCCAAATCAGGGGCAAGGCAAAGGCAGTTGCTCTGGCCACTGCTGTTGAGCATGATACTGGAAGCTTCCAACAGTGAAATTAGGCAGGAAAAGGGAATTAAAAACATGCAGGTTAAAAATTTAAAACTGAAACTGTCCCCATTTGCAGACAACACGAATGTGCATGTTGAAAATCCCAAAGAATCGTGATAAAAATCAAAGCCACCAAAACAACCCCCACTTTGCTTTTTATTTTGTTTTTCTTTTCTGGATAGGTTCTCACTATGTATGCGTGGCCTTGAACTCTCATCAATCCTCCTGCCTCAGCCTACTGAGTGTTGGGATTACAGGTGTGCACCAGCATGCCTGGCAGAAAACCCTCTGAATAAATAAGGCCGGCAAGGTCAAGGATACGTACAAAAGCAGTATATCAAAATCAGGAGGGCCAGGGATTTAGCTCAGTAGTTCCGCCATCTGCCTCGCAAGCGCAAGTGAGCATTTGGACTCCAGAATTAAACATAGTGTAAAAGGGGCTGGGGTTTGGCTCAGTGGTTCTGTTGCCTGCATTGCAAGCGCGAGGGCCCAAGTTTGATCTCTGGTACCGAAAAAAAAAAGATAAAAATAGCATACAAGTCAGTGAAAAAGGAAAGGAGAAATAAGTATAAATGTAATAAAACATACAAGATTTATATATTAGAAGCTATATACTATATATTATGTACTAGAAACGACACTGATAAGAGGTAAAGACCTAAATAAGTAGAGAGACAACTGTACTATTTTCATGGATTATGAATGTCAAATACTAAAGATGTTGGTTATTGCCAAAATGTCGTGTCAACATATTTGCTATTAAAATTCCAGCCTGGCTGGGTTTGAGTTCAGTAGTGAGGTGCTTGCCCTAGAGATTCTGGGTTTGATCCCCAGCATTTCACCCCCCCTCCCGAATCCCAGCAAGATCTTTTGCAGATATATTCTATATTCATTTGTTCTGAAATAAGTGTACGGAAAAGCCAGAGGAACTACAGTAGTGGCAATAGTTCTGATAAAAAATAAATAAACTAGTCAGTGTGTAGCTCCACTGGGAGACTGTTAGACTGAAAAAGAATAACATGGGCGGGATTAGTTCTCCTGATTTCAGCTACCGTTACAGAGATCCAGACTGTGATATTGGCAGAAGGGTAGAACACAGATCAGTGCAGCAGAGCAGGGAACCCACATCACACGTACAACTGGTTAGACAGGAGAAATACAGAAGTCATTAGAGGAAGTAGAGCTTCTAATATGTGACACTGGGGAAATTGGACATCCACAAGCAGAAACAGAAACAAACTTCTTGTTAGTATTGTAACTAAAACAGAATTTAACTCAAACTGGATCAATTAGTCACTTAAATATAAAACGTAATTATAAGACTTCCAGGAAAAAGTAAAGAAGAGGATCTTGAGATCTAGGGCTAGCCAGAGAGTTCATAGATTTGACATTAAAAGCATCCCTGTGAGGGGGAACAAAAATGGCTAAGTTAGACTTCATCGAAATCATAAACTATCTTTTTTTTTCTTTTTGGTACCAGGGGTCAAACCCTGGTCCTTGCGCTTGCAAGGCAGGCAGTGGAACCACTGAGCTGAATCCCTGGTCCTAAATCATAAACTTTTAAAACTTGAAAAGGGAATCTGTGTCCCGCATACTTGGCACAGCAGAGGAGAGCTGGGCTTTTCCTGGTGAAAGGAACAACCCACTGTTGGGCAGCACACCCACATTCCTGCCCTGCAGGCCACCTGGACGTCATGTCACGCAGAACTGGGAGCCTGGGGCTGGTTTTGCATTTGATTTTTTTTTTTTTTTTTTTGTTTTTTGAGACAGGGTCTCACTATGCAGTTGAGACTCACTTGGAACTCACTATGTAGCCCAGGCTGGTCTCGAACTCACAGGGATCCTTCTGCCTCAGCCTCCTGAGTGCAGGGATTACAGGCATGCGCCACCATGCCCAGCTGGTTTTGTATTTAAAAACCTTTAAAAACATCCCAAAACTTTTTATGGTTGCAAAGATAAAAAGTCAAGCTAAAGGCCGGGAGAAAATACTTGCAGTCCACATAGCGTCTGGGACATCCAAGGAATTAGCAAAATTCAGTAGTTGAAAAACAAATCTGATGAGAAAATCGGCAAAACACAATTTTACCTAAGAGAATAAACCAACGCAGAGAGGCATATATGGGATGATGTTCAGTACCATTAGGCATCAGAGAAATGCTAAAGTCACTATACCCGATCAGAGTGCCTAAAAAAATAAAAATTAGTGACAGCAACGGAGTGGGCCTGGACTACTCCCCCGTTGCTGGTGGAACTTTAAAGTGGCATAGCCACCCTGGAGCACAGTGTGGCAGTTTCTTTAAAACAAGAAACGACACCCCCACAAAACTATTAGCCAAGTAACTGCTGTACAACCCATCCCTGTGCTCCCTGACATTTATCCCAGAGGAGTGTGGGCTTATTGTGTAAGACAAACTGTTTGCCCTTCTGTATTCTCACGCAAAACTAAAGGAAAAATACTCTCTTCCTACTGCTATTCTTGGTGCTGCACATTGCTGGCCACCAAAGTGTTGGTTTTTCTCCATAATGACCGATCCTTGAATTCTGAGCATCTTAGTGTGGTCAATTCTCACAGCAAACTGGCGCCCCTAGTCAGGACTCCGTCCTGAACGCCCCCCTTGCAGACCCAGCGGTAAGGCCAGTGGGCTCTCAGTTGTCATTGATTGCTGGCGTCGCTCACAGAGCGCAGGGAACACATGTGCTGACAGAGTTATTGTATAACAAGGGACACAGAGGAAGAGGCCCCTGGGTGTGGTTAGAAAGGGTCCTGGGCCCAGGAGATTCTGGCCCCGTGGAGTTGGGGCCAGCCGCCCTCCTGGCACATGGTCATCAACCCAGAAGCCTGCTCAGCTCCACACTTCAGGGATTTTTATGAGCTGTGATTGATACCAACTCAGTCTCTATCCCCTCTCTCCCTGGAGTCGAGGGTAGAGCGGGCTGAAATTGCCTGTCTCCTGTCTTTCTTGTGAGCTTCCCCCATCCAGAGTAACAAGTATTGGTATGAGTAGCAACCCTGGTCAGGTCTGCAGAGAACCCTTAAAGAAAAACAGATTCCATGCAATTGCATAATGTGTGCTTCCATTGATAAACATTCTTGCTGTGATAAGATTATAGAGATGGAGAATGAATTACTGGTTGTCAGAAGCAAGAGAAGGGTGCGGAGGAAGGGAAGTGTGAGACTTTAAAAGGGCAGCGTGACGCATCTCGGTGGCCAAGAAGGCTCTGCATCCTGACTGCGTTGCTCTCTGGTTGTAATATTGTGCTGTAGCTTTGCGTGATGTTACCATTGGAAGAACCAGGGAAAGGGAGGTCGTGTGTCCCCTCCCACTGGAGACTGAACTCAGCATCTTGAACTTGCCAGGCAGACACGCAATGAGCTAAGTCCCCAGCCCAGGGTATCATTTCTTACACCTGCATGCTGCTTACATAACACAGACAAAATAAGGCTCTGCAGCTGTCTGGTTGTGCTGCTGGGCAGTTTGTCCCTGCCTTCTGCGTGACACAGCCGGTGACAGTTCGTGCCACAGCTTCGCCCAGCGTCTAATGAGCCCTGTATACTTGTGACAGGGATTGAACCCACCGGAAACATGGTGAAGCAACCAGCCAAGTTCACTGTGGATACCATCAGCGCCGGGCAGGGAGAGGTGATGGTGTTTATCGAGGACCCAGAAGGGAACAAAGAAGAGGTATGTTGGAGGATACACCCTTCCCCTGGAGCTGTGGGTCTGTGGTAGGGCCTGCAAGGGAGCCTCCACTTTCCGTCTAGACTGCAGCCACCGTGTTCTGCACCAGCTGGACCCTGAAGCCTCTAGTGGTTAAAGTAACTTGCCGAGAGCTGTGCCTTGAGATGCACTATAAATTAATTCTGAAGGACACAAGGGTGAATAAAGCAAAGTTCACTTTGGCTTTAGCAAAGGCCTTAGTGGGGTGGTTCATGCCCTGATCTCTTCTCACACTGATCATTCTTTGTCTCTTTCCTCAGGGCCTTTCTGTTTGCTTATATTTTCTTTTTGGCACTGGGGATCGAACTCGGGACCTTGTACTTGCGAGGCAGGTGGCAGAACCACTGAGCTAAATAAATCCCTGGCCCTGCTTATATTTTCTTTTGACCATATTTTATTCCTGATACTTAACACAATTTAAAATGCTAAATTTACTGTTGTATTTTTTGTTTTTCCCTCTGAGGCAGGGCATGTACCCACCTTGCTTGCTCATTATTTTGTTTTTGGTACTTACAATGGCATGCATTGCGTACTGCATTTCATACGCACTCTCTCCCCACTTGAGAGACAGAGTGTTACTATGTAGCTCAGGCTGGCCTTGAATTTGCTCCAACTTGTGATCCTCCTGCCACGGCCTCCCAACTGCCAGAATTATTTGTGTACACCATATACCTGTCTCTTGTAGACCTTGAATAACTACTCAGCCGATGAATGTTTAAGTCTAATGTTCTCTGTCATCCACGGAGTGCTTGCCCTGGACAGTGCCAGTCCTGACTTTGTGCTTTGCGCCAGGTGGTTTGTTTGTGGGAGTTCAGGCTGCTTCTTTCCTGTACCCTCTGCAGGACGGGCAGGCAGGAAGTAGAACCTCCAGGGTTCCCATCCTGGCTGGTTGCTGCAGGACCTTGGCTGACACAGCATTCCTCACACCTGACACCTTCTCTGTTACACCCCTTCCTTTCTAGGCACAGGTCACCCCTGTCAGCGACAAGAACAAGACATACTCTGTGGAGTATCTGCCCAAGGTCACCGGGCTGCACAAAGTAAGATGAGTCATGGCTTAGACACTCTTGGCTTATTCGGATATTTGTAAAAGAGGGAGATCTAAGGGAAGAAGAGGGGTCTTCTTTGTCCCAAGTTCTGGGCCTCTCATATACTAGACAAGCTCTCTACCACTGCGCTCTACTCAAGCCTCAAAGAGTGATTTTCTTAAGTTATCTTCTTTTCAAAGTATCCATTCCCATTGTAGAAAACTTAAAACCCGTGAGTCAGACTTCAGACATTAGCTTCTCTGTTTAAATTCCACCAGCAGGTTCCTTATAAAGTCCTGAGTTTTGTCTGACTCCATATTGGTGGCTGGTGGTCGCAGCTGCATCTCTGGAGTGTAGTAGATGAAACTTTGGACTCTGTCCTTAGCAATTCCTTAGGTGTCCTCCTCTGAAGTGGTCTGGAGGTCTGGCTCTGCTGGCATTGAAGCCAGAGGTTGGAAGGACGTGCTGACTCTGAGCCCCTGGGGAAGTGACAGTGGTCAAGCCCCAGGCCTTTTGTGTCTTGAGTTCTCTTTGAGATAGGACAGTGGTACCTCGACTCACGGGCTCAATCCCATGATTCTGGTCACAGGTGTGTGCAGGTAGCCCGTAGGGCAGGGGCTGAGAGCCTGTTCTAGAGGAAGTGGGGTGACCCAGGGGTGTCCCCTACATCGAAGAAGGCCCACAGCAGCATATGATGGCCAATCCCTGTGTATTAGGGCCAGTGTCAGAGACGTAGACTCTACTCACTCACCACCTTGGGCGTTTCATGAATCCCCCTGGACTTAGATTCTTCTTTAACTTAAAAAATTATGAATTTGGAAAAAAGCAGTCTTAAAGAGGAGCATTTTACGATGTAATTTATTCTTTCAAGCCAAGTATGGATTCACATGAAACTCAATCCAGTTCTCTTGAAAAAATTTCAAAGATAAGAAGTGTGCCTCAAGTTTTAGATGCAAATCATTGTACTTTGTCTCAAATATATATACCTAAGAATGATCTTGGTCCTTTGAAAAATACTTTGACTATCAGTTTGAAATCTTGGGAACACATATGATATTCTGGGAGGACGGAAGCCCTGCACGTACAGCCCTCCGATGGACGCATGTCTAGAGATTGACTAGAAGAGTTACTCTTTTCCTGCTCAAAAGGCTAAGCGTATCTGCTATAAGTATTGTAGTTTGCAGAAGGTACACAGTCACAGCTGCATGGTGGGGCCAGGTAGGCGTCCCATCGAAGCTGTTTACCTGGTTCCCGGCTTCTGATTCCAGCTGTCTTTGTGTACGTGGTACCGAGCGTGCAGAAAAAGATCATTGATGCACAAGGCTTAATAGTCATTTTGCTAGGCACGGAGAAATGATTACATCTCCCCTGTCTGTCACCTCTTAGGTCACCGTCCTCTTTGCAGGACAGCACATCTCCAAGAGCCCATTTGAAGTGAATGTTGACAAGGCCCAAGGAGATGCCAGTAAAGTCACTGCCAAAGGCCCAGGGTTGGAAGCTGCAGGGAACATTGCCAATAAGTCCACCTATTTTGACATCTACACAGCAGGTATTGTGTCTTCTTCCATCGATTGGACTTTGAGCTTTCTTCTAGAACCTGAAATATAAATAGTCCTCAGGATTTGAAGGCTTGCCTTTTTTTGGAGCGGGTACTGGGAACTGAACCCAGGGCCTTCTTTCTGTCTGCTACATTCCCAGCACCCAACCCCCTTTTAAAGTTTTTTTTTTAAATTTTGAGACAGTATCTTACTAAGTTGCTATTTGCCTGGGATAGATTTGAACTTGTGATTTCCTTCCTCAGCCTCCCATAGTGCTGGAATACAGGCGTGTGCCACTACATCCAGCTGAAGACTTGTCTTTTAAAGAGAACAAACCGTAAAATCAAATTTTCCCAATGTGTATTATGTGTTTCTGTTTTGTAAAACTAGCTTTTCAAAAGTTTTATCATCAGGCTTGACTATGATTGATTAGTAATCAATTTCTGTATATATTTCTGACTTTACTAAATTTTCCAAAGCAAGCGAGGTTTTTTTTGTACCAGGGATCAAACTCAGAACCTTGCGAGGCAGGTGGTAGAACCACTGAGCTAAATCCCTGGCCCAGAAAGTTAAGTTTTTTTGTTTGTTTGTTTTTGTTTTTGTTTTTGATTTTTTTGAGACAGGGTCTCACTGTGTAGTTGAGACTGACCTGGAACTCACTGTGTAGCCCAGGCCGGTCTCGAACTCACAGTGATCCTCCTGCCTCAGCCTCCTGAGTGCTGGGATTACAGGCGTGCACCACCACACCCAGCTCAATCATCTAGTAGAAGTTCTATGCTGAGACCCTGTTGGGGGAGGGGATGGCCTGTCTAAGACATATGACTTGGATTGTTTGTTTTTTTGTTTTTGGTACTGGGGATTGAACTCAGGCCCTCGTGCTTGCTTGGCAGGTGGTGGAACCGTTGAGCCAAATCCCCAGCCCCGTGACTTGATTGTTAACCTTCTTTTCAGTGTAGATAATTTGGAAAATAGAGAATGTGAACCTGAACAAGTTCAGTGCCAGCCCCACCACCCCAGGAGGATGGTGGTCAGTGTCTCCGCGTGACCTTCCCAAGCTCCTCTGAATCCCTCTGTATTTTGCACCGCTCGGCAGGGAGCTGTCTGAGCGGGAGCTCGGACTCATGGAATGCTCACTCTTTCCAGGAGCTGGTGTGGGTGACATTGTCGTGGAAGTGGAAGATCCCCAGGGGAAGAACACGGTGGAGTTGTGTGTGGAAGACAAAGGAAACCAGGTGTACCGATGTGTGTACAAACCAGTGCAGCCTGGCCCTCACGCGGTCAAGGTGTTCTTTGCTGGGGACACTATTCCCAAGAGTCCCTTTCTTGTGCAAGTGGGGGAAGGTGAGTGCTTCTGGCTTGGAGACTGTGCAGCTGGGCACCGAGGCCGCAAGGTGGTCTCGCCCAATACCAACCTTGCCCCATCCCTTTTGTGCTGGGTTTCTTCAGCAGGAAGTGAATTACTCTCTCGTTAAGCTGTTAATACTAACACAGGTTGTTAGCTTCCAAGCGCTGTGACAGAATACCTGAGATAATCAAATTAATAGGAGGAGGAAAGGTTTATTTTGGCGCACACTTTTAGTGGTTTCAGCCCATGGGCACTCGGCTCTGTTGCGTTTGTACCCGCCCTGGCACAGTACATTATGACAGAGGAACCGCCCACTTCATGGCAGCTGGTAGCAAAGGGAGGAAGAGACGGGGCTAGGATCCCTTCAGGACCCACCCCCAGTGGCCTTAACTTCTGCCTACTAAGACCCGCCTCCTAAAGGCCCCTTACCTCCTAGTAATGCCTCAGGCTAGGGACAAAGCCTTCAACACAGGGGCTTTTGGGGGGCATTTTAGATCCAGTCTACAGTAGGTTGAGCATTCCAATCTGAAATCTGAGATGCTTCAAAATCTAAAGTGTTTTGAGCACCGATGTGATGCGTGTATGTGTGTGTTTTAGGGCACAGAGAGCTTTAGATTGTGGAGCATTTTAGATTTCATATTTTGGGATTGAGTATGCTTAACTATCAGAATCCGTGCAGACATTCTAATATCTCCCCCAAAAAGAAAAATTAGATTAAAAGCTGAAGTCTGAGACATGTTTTTGGTCCTAAGCATTTTGAATAAAGAACACTTAATCTGTATTTTTCGTAAGTCACACAGAACCGAAGGGCATGAAGGGTATGAACTCATGTACTGGGTGAGCTCCCCAAAGAAGCATACGGGGGAGCTAGCTTCTGTCACCGAGATTGGTGCAGCAGGTGGCCTCCAGCCTCCGCTGCTCAGCCTTCCCTGGCTGCCAGACACTTAGCACCCCTGCCTCTAACTGTCATCCCACCTGCGTGTCACAGTCAGTGCCGTGAGGGGTCCGTAAGAGCTGAACCTCCGTCTCTGTTAACTGTGCCCTTAACTGCTCTTCTAATCCGTTGTCCACCAGGAACACAAGTTTTTCTCTAATGTTAGACCTCTCCAGACTTGGTTGCTCCCCTCCTTTTTTTTTCTTTCCAACTGTGCCTACTTTTCTAACCCATACTTGCCTTTCCTGTTCTATCCTCCGCATCTGCACCTCTGCGCCTGCAGACTTGGCTTCCTCTTCCGAATCCTGTCTCTGGGCCAGCCTGGACCTGAAGCTGCTGGCTTCCTAGTTGCGAGCACTGGGCCAGAGGCTCTTGCTTGGTAAGGGCTGGTTGGGTGGGGTGTTTGTTTCTGCCGGTTCTTTGTGCCCTTTGTGACTTCAGGAAATACGGGTGTTATTACAACTTGTGCAGCCAGACCCCATACCCACTATCTAACTGAGTTTAAATATATCGAAGGCTTTGCAAGATAATAGAAGATCTGACAGTTTCCTGCCTGCTCTTCAGCTCTGTTCAGTATTTCTACAAGCTGAGCATTTACCCTTCAGATGTTGAGACTGTTACACATGTTCAAAATTTCCATGAGTGTGTGTATGTGTTTTAGGACACATTTAAACCCTCTGAGGAAGTCCTATCATCCTGTTGTGACTTATTTCTAGTGCGAGCAACCTTTCTCCCTTTGACAAAGGAAAAACAAACAAAACCTTTAAAATATTCCTAAGCAAAACTTTTTTTTTTTGGTACCGGGAATCGAACTCTGGACCTCACGAGGCAGGCGGTGGCACCACTGAGCTAAATCCCTGGCCCCTAGCAAAACTGTTTTTGACATGAGAAGAAAAGGACTTTGGACCAGCTTTCCTGATTTTTCTAGTGTTTCCTGACCTGCTCTCAGTCATGTACTGTTTTTTTTTTTTTTTTTTTTTTCTCATTTCTGGCATATCCACCCCATCTATCACTTACACTGTGCAGTATTTAATTAATAGACCCTTTCTTCTGATTTACTACCTCCTGCTATAAAGATTTGAGGTTAAAAGAACTTTTCTATCTCTGTCACAATGGAAAACGAATGTCACTTGTCAAAGTGCCACTATAAACTTAGCCCACTCACGATCCATCTAAAATTCTCTCTTAATTCCAAGAAAGTTTGTCTGCCTCTTTGGGAAGTGTGGACATTGCAGGGAGGAGCAGCCAGATGTTACAGTTACCTTCCTTCTGTGCAGCAGTCTCTTCTGGAGCCTATAAACCCCCGTGTGTAGAGGTCCACCACATATGCAGAGTGAGATTTGGAAAGAAAAAGCCACCTAGTAGACGAGGGGACTTTGAACCCATGAATTTCCCATTTCTGTTTAACGAGAAGGTTGCCCATGCTAGATAAAGAATTCCTAGGGCACAAAGGTGTCTTTTATCAACCTCTGACTAACACCAGAGGTCCGTGTGGACCTTTCATGAAAAGAGTGCTAGAAACTCTCTTAGTCTTGAGCTTTTAGTGTGAGAGCTTTAGGGTTTTGAAATAGCCCTAGAGGTCAAGTCAGAAGTGGCATTTCCTGCTGCTCCTTGCTTTCATAGCCTCCCAGATTCTGAGAACCTTGTGACAGCTAGTGCTGAAAGGTTGGTCTGCCTTGGCCAAGTGAGGCTTGACTGTCTGTCTTGAGCACTCTGTTGTTTTGCCTGGCTGTTCATGTGGAAGACAACCGTGATTAGAGCTTGAGAAATGACTGACCTACGGTTTGGAATCCAGGTAGACATTTTCAGGCCCTGCATTTTCCAAGTAGACTTGAAAAAGTCTGATTTTCCCAATTACTGGGCCCTTGAGTGTGGCAGTGAGATTTGAGTCATGTCCAGCACTCAGTCGTCTTGACTCCTCCTCACAATGAAAGGATGAAGGCTGAGCCAGGAGCGTAGTGTGGTTTCGCCACGCTTTCCTCTCTCCATTGCCACAGTGACTGCCGGTTCTTCTGTAGTGGGGCCTGACAGAGTTATGTTTTATTCTTGTTCGCGAGCTGGTGTGCTCCCTGAATGGGACCTTGGGCTCGGGCAACTGCTGCATACTCTGTACAGAGCAAATATTTTTTTTTGGCGATTGGCTCCAAGTTACCTTGGCTTCTCATCTTTGAGTAAGAATGAACGCTTGAACTGATGTTAAAACTCTGCTTGTAGCCTGCAATCCAAATGCCTGCCGGGCCAGTGGTCGAGGCCTGCAGCCCAAAGGTGTTCGAATCCGCGAGACTGCAGACTTCAGAGTTGATACCAAAGCTGCTGGAAGCGGGGATCTCAGCATAACCGTGAAGGGTCCTAGTAAGTGCTCCTTTCATTCCTATCTCCGTTGTGATTTTTCACTAACTTTTCAGTTATGGCGTATGGATTTCATCCCATCAGCAGTTCTGATTGGTTTGTCTGCAGAGCTGTGACAAAGAATTGAGGCTATCTGGACTCTTCGGGGAAGAGAGCTGTGATTGATTAGTACTCTCTGCCCAGGAAGTGGGCAAGGACAGTAGGTGGCTTGATATCCTTACATTACATTAAGACCACTGGGAGTAAAAAAAAAGCAGCAGCCATGTAAGGGAATTGGAGAAATGCTGCTGTTGGAGCAACACCCATAGTGGTATATTTTTTTATTCATGGAGACCTAACCTCAGAGTAGAAGGTTCTTTTCCAAAGTCACGCAGTTTGTAGGCATCTGATCTGGAATTCAAGCACATTCTCCGAAGCCATTGATTGCCCCAGTACAGGTTTGCATTTTATTGACTATGAAATTATGTCAGTTACTACTCTTATTACTGTGATCAGTGCTTATAGGAAGAAAATAAAATTCCCTACCACGGGGTTTTCTTTGTAAGTAAGTGACATTACTGGAGGCCAGGTTATACCCAGCAGCCTGTTCTCACTCCCTGCTTTAGGGATGGAGACAGCAGACATGGAGACAGGTGTCTAGTCCAGAACAGAGAAGCAGTCCAGCATTTCTGGTAGGAGGTGTAGCCGTGCTGGGTCCCGTGGCACCTGGAATTGAGTTTCTTGCACTGGGGCTGCTCCTGCCCTCTCTGTTGTCATCAGACTGGGGCAGGAGGATTCTGAGTTTCACCAAGTTAATATTGGATCACAGAGCACCAAGTTTTGGGGCAGGCTGTGCCCTGCAAGCAACCGAAGTTCTAGACTGCCCAGACCTCGGGCCAGGCTCCTTTGGGGCCGTCTTCCCTCACAGCTTGTTGTAATTGGAGCCAAGGAGGCATTTCTTCCTGACTTTAGAGACTTGCTTTATTCAACAGCTTTCTTGGCCAGACCTCAGTGCTCAATATAAAGCAAGTTTCTGCCTGATGGCCGGGTCTGGGTTTGTGGTGTAGCATCTAAAACTTGTCCTGTTGTAGATAGCACAGAAGGACTTTCTTGCTGTTGTTCGGTGTCAGTGGTAAAAGTTATGCTGGTGGGCTGAAGCCAAATACTCATAAGGGTACCCCCCCAGTTTTTGTGGGGGGCTGAGAAGGGTGGCGACGGTTTTTGGGCAGTACTGAGGGGTGACTAGATTTATCTCTACACAGATCCAGGACCTCAGGGTCCCTCTGGCCCAGAGTACTGTCTCCAGCCATTTAGCCAGCAATCCCTCCGTTTCTCACGCTTTGGGGAAGAGATGAGGCTGCTTTTAGCCTGGAGTCCCCTTCCAGGTTTTGGGGGTCCCGCACTCAGGCAGCTCAGTTTTCCTGCGTGGCTTGTTGTGGACATTGCCTACTGGGTGCTTTTGTGTTGGCTTTTGCTGCGAGCCTCAGGTTGTGCTGGAATGATTGTGTGCTTTCTTCCCACAGAAGGCCTGGAGGAGTTGGTGAAGCAGAAAGGCTTTCAGGATGGGGTCTACACATTCGAGTATTACCCCAGCACCCCGGGGAAGTACAGCATTGCCATCACGTGGGGGGGACACCACATTCCGAAGAGGTGAGTCTCAGCCTCAGCTCAGGGCAGCTCACAGGCTGCTGCTTTGCAGTCTGCAGGAGGGAAAAGAGATCTGCTTTGTTGAAAGCTTTTCTTTCCCCCCCTCTCAGAGTAGCACACAGACATTTGGCTTATTCTCAAAAGCAGCAGAAAGTCGCTGTGGTTTCAGCTGCTTTGCTTTAAATCAAATGCTAGTGGTTTGGGGCTGGAGGGAGGCAAGGAAGCCAGAAGGCGCAGTAATAGAGAGCAAATGCACTATCTGTCTACACAGCCTTACAGAAACCGAAGTACTTGTTTTTTCAATGAATGCCCCCTTTTACAGATGCCAGGGGGGCGCAATCTGCTATGGTTTTACATTAAAACCATCTATGTGAGTGGTGTCAGGAACCGAGGGATTCCACCCAAAGCTTTGCCTTCTGGGTGTTGCATTTCCTCCCTGCACTCCTGTATTCTTTAGCTCTCCTGGGGGCAACTTTAAATTCTGAATACATTTAGTTTGCCTTGAGAAATGTTTGGCCACTTCAGAAGTCCCTCCAAATCCGTGAGGCATGTGTTCTAGGACCTGCATTGAATGCCTGAAGTCAAGGAGAGTGCTAAAGCCTAGATTGGCCATGTTTCTTCTTATACATACGTGTGCAAAGTAAAGTTTAATTTATAAAATAGGGACCGGAAAAGGTTAACAGCAGTAACTCATAATAGAATAGCATTAGAGCAACATACTAAAAGCTGTATGAATATAGTCTGTGCAAATACTGCATCGTACTGTGACTCTTCTGTGACGTGATGATACAGTGCCTATGTGGTGAGAGGTGAAGAAAAGGACACGTATGCCAGACATTTGGTTGCATGTAACCGAAACTTCAGAAGCAAAACTGAGGATCAGGTATAGGATTCTTAGTATCTAAGCACACTTTTTAAAAGCTCCCCACCTTAAAGTTGAAGCACACTCTTTCACACATGAGGGTACAGCCTGTTCAGCTGAGGTTTCTAATAGTGTAAGTAGGATATGGAGACGCGTGGACTTCCTTACTTCCGGGGCTCACAGTCTGGAGAACCCTGCACACAAAGGTCACTGAGTGCAGGATAGCGCCACGCAGTATGTGTGGCTTGAGTGCGACCTCTTATATTGTTGACATAACAATGGCTGTAAGGGGACGGTGTGGACGAAGGGCTTTCCTGGGGTTTGGGACTTGGTGAAAGGATCAGGTAAGTGGAGAGAATGAGTGTTAGCTGTTCATGGCTGTAGGCAGCTTCATCTTTACTGTTCTTTAATGCTTCTCATTCCCTTCCTTCTAGCCCCTTTGAAGTTCAGGTTGGCCCTGAAGCAGGCATGCAGAAAGTCCGAGCTTGGGGCCCTGGTCTGCATGGCGGCATCGTCGGGCGGTCGGCTGACTTCGTGGTAGAATCCATTGGCTCTGAAGTGGGGTCTCTGGGTAAGTGGAGGCAGCTGGCCAGCATCTTGTCGAGGCCCGAGGGTTTCGGGGCACCTGGGCCTGCTGTCCACTGGGTGTTGGGGCCTCGCCCAGCCTCACTGCCTTCAGCCTCCTGACCACCCTCACAGGCCTTTCTCTGGGTGCCTCTGTGGAATAGTAGCTGCCATTTTCCTCCTGCACTTCTGAGGTAGGAACAAAAACGAAAAAAAAACTATGTAGAAAAAGAGGCAAGGAAATTGAAATGTTAATGTTGCTACTAAATAACAGCACAAGGTGAAACCTATTCATTATCAAAACTAAATGTTGGGCCGGGTATTTAGCTCAGTGGCACTGCGCCTGCCTCGCAAGCACAAGGTCCTGAGTTTGATCCCCAGCACCAAAAAAACCCAAACTAAATGTTATGGATACATTCCTGATAGCTCTACAAATATATCTTCTATATAACAAATTGATACTGTGTCAAATTATGCTATAAGCTTTAATAACTGGCTAATGTCTTGGTTCTATAGCACAACCTGATAAAAAAGTTTACATTTCTTTGGCAATGATGCTATACGTTAAAATTCTTTTATGTTACACAATCCATTGCTGTTTTGGGCTAATGTCTCATATGCCCTTGCCCTCTTACTAGGCTATCAAAAATGATGGGGCAGGGGCTGTAGCTCAGCAGTACAGTGTCTGCCTGGCAAGTGCAAAGCTCTGTGTTTGATTCCCCATTTAAAAAAAAATCCCCACTAGTTCCCTGTCTTTTTTAGAGCAGTCAAAATGAGAATTTGGTCCCTAGCTAGACAGGATTGATGCCCCTGCTCAGCCTAAAACAGTTCTAGTCAGACCTTCAGCCTTCTTCAGACCCTTAAAACTAAGGGACCAAAGTTGGGGTGGTGTAGGGGGTGAAGTAGGGCCCCCCACAAATCAAAAAAAGAAAATTCAAAAAGGATACAAAGAAATTCAGATTGTAAAAGCTTGAACCTGGTACCTTAGACCACTTGGCCATCCTGACACCTGAGATTTTAAGGTTATACAATACTTTTAAGAAAAACTGCAGCTTTAAGACAAGTGCTCCCCACCTCGCTTTCTGGAGGCCACCTGGCTTTTGACACCCCCCCCCCCCCCATAGCGTTAAAGTCTTGAACTCCAGACACTGGGCCTGTCCTTCTCACCTGTAAATTACTTCTACAAATTGCGCTTCCTCCACCCCCAGACCACAGCTAGCTACATTGACAACAGCATGTCTCCACTTCAAACACAGATAAACAGCCTGCTCTATAACCAACAATAAAAGTGCACATCCTACATCACCACCTGTCTTTTTTTTTTTTTTGAGACAGGTCTCACTATGTAGTTGAGACTGACCTGAAACTCACTATGTAGCCCAGGCTGGTCTGGAACTCACAGCGATCCTCCTGCCTCAGCCTTCTGAGTGCTGGAGTTACAGCCATGCGCCACCACACCTGGCGTAGATTACCTGTCTTAAAGGCACCCCTTTACCTGTGCCCCACTCCAGTGTATAACATGCTCTTGCGTCTTTACACACCCACACTCCACTCTGAGTGTGTCTGGAATCTCTATCTCTATTACACCTTCTGATGTCTGTTTTACTGACGTGTCCTAAGTATTCTTTTTCCACAGCAAGAGTCAGTAAACCTACACATTTGTTTTAGAAGAGTGGATTAAGTCCTGTATTTCAGCCTGAAAAGCCACAGACCCAACCCCATGACCTTTCTAGTTGCCCACTGCCCCCAGCCTCTGGCCTTCTTCCCTGCACTTGTGCTTGGTGGCGGGGCCCTTGGTTGGCGCGTGGTACCTAAACAGTGCTTGGGACGTAGTAGGCACTTGGCAAATATTGTTGATTGACCCTTGGTTAGATTAACGAATGAGTGAATTTTCCTGAAATTTGAAACTTGGGGATACCTATAATCCCAGGGCCTCTGGAGGCTGAGGCAGGAGGATCCACAAGTTCAAGAGCAGCTTGGGTGACTTATTGAGATCTGCTTCAAAATAAAATATAAGAAGGGTTTGGGATGTAGCTCAGTAGTAGAGTGCTTGCCTCACATGTGCGAAGCCATTAATTTGGTGTCTGGCACTGAAAAAAAAAGTTCTACTAGTACAATCAGTAAAACATAACTAATCAGGGGAAAAGGCGCTGGTAAATTTTGAATCAAGCTTATTATGTAATTAAAAAAAACTTGGGAGGTAAATATTTTCTTTGGTGTGAAACTGAATATATATTTGAAATATAAATCTGATCATTTTATATATGATTATTTTAGATTAGGATTTAGGGAATTTTTCCTGTAAAGGGCCAAATAGCAAATATTTTCAACCTGTCTGTCATAATTTTGTGATTCTATCATTGGAGCCTGAACGCAGCCATAGAAAAATATGGTTTTGTTTATGTTTTTTTGTTTTTGAGACAGGGTCTCACTGTGTAGTTCAGGCTGGCCTTGAACTCCTTATGTAACTCACACTGGCCTGGAACTCTCAGCAATTCAGCCTCCCAGGTGCTGGGATTACAAGCGTACACCACCACATCTGGTAAAAGTATGAATGAGTGGATGTGGCCATGTTCCAGTAAAATCTGATTTATTAAAACAGGCAGTAAGACAGATTTGGCCCTTGTACTATAGTTTAGTGGCCCCGTTTTAGATAAAGCAATAAGCAAAGGAGAGAGGGAAAAAAAAAGAAATCATTTAATGTTCCTTATTAGAAGGATTGAACATCTTGATATAACCTTCTAGTCTGGAGATAATATTTAACCTTTTGGTATATTCTTTCAGACTTTTTTGCCATACGCATACAAATGTGGATTTTCACATAAACTATTTGGGGAAGTCTTTATATCTGTATGCATGAGTCGAATTCAGGGCATGCCTTCACTTTCCATGGCATACGTGGAATTGCATTGTAGGGGCATTTCTCTTGTTGGGTTCTCCAATTATTTCCACAGTTGTGCTACGTAAACACTGCTGAGTACATATCCTCAGTTATTTCCTTCAGGTAAAGGCCCAGAAGTGGGCTCGGTAGGGCAAGGAGCAGGTGTTGGCTTAAAGCTTTTGGCACCTATTGCCATGTTGCCAATAGACATTTGAGTAAAAAAGAAAAGTAAATCCATGCTGTCCCTTCCATCTCTCAGTGACCTTGGTTTTGTGGAAAAGGAGGCACAGATTTCAGAGTTCTTGCTGATATTTAGCTTTTCAGGAAGAAGAAAGAATGAGTTGGTAGTGAAGATAAAACAGACTCTTTCTACATTATAACCAGAGGCCTTCTACCCTGCCCCACAGGGTTTGCCATTGAAGGCCCTTCCCAGGCAAAGATCGAGTATGACGACCAGAACGATGGATCGTGTGATGTCAAATACTGGCCCAAAGAGCCTGGAGAATATGCTGTGCACATCATGTGTGACGACGAAGACATAAAAGACAGCCCATACATGGCCCTCATCCGCCCTGCCACAGGAGACTACAACCCAGATCTGGTGAGCCAGCCTGACCTGTTTCTTTCCTCTCTTCCCTGACCCCTCGCATTCCCCTAACCCCTGAGAGTTGAGAGATGGCAGAGATCCTTTTAGATCTTTGGAAAGTCATTGGCCTGGATAGTACCCTGATCTCTTTTATAATCTTGGACAAGTAACTTATCACTCTGCCTGTTCTCAGGGTACTAGTATCTGCTTTCTAGAGCATCTGGGGAGATTTGAGGTCACATGGAGACAACACAGGTGGTGACCGTGCCTGACCTATGCAGGGGACTCCGGAGCTGCTATTTTCCTGTAACCCAGAGCATCCTGTTCCAGTCTTGCCATTTTTTTGTGGTTACAGTTTCCACATACTCATAGATGAAGGTTGTCTCAACTGCCCACCTCCAGCTCCCCTTCTCCTAAGTTGGGGAAGTGTTCCTGAGGGCTTTCCCTCAAGTTCTTAGGAGGCTGATGAGCACACTCTCTGAGCCAGCCTGGCCAGTGATTGGAGTTGGCCCCTTATCCTATGTGCATTGCTGGGGGAACACTTGGGCAGGTGTCTTGAGGCTGGTGTTAGTTTGGGCTTGGCCTTAGGTCATTCCTTGACGAACCATCAGTCCTTTGCTGTCTGGGAGCTGCAAATTTTTGGATGTTGTCTCCATGATAAAGGTTCTGAACATAGAAATTGGACAGAGTCAGAGGTCTCTCCCCATTTACTAGAAGTTTTTTTTTTTTTTTTTCTCTCAGCTCAGAATAAGGCAGGGAGCCTGGGATTTACTGTTTTCTCTTTTCGTTTCTTTTACTTCTCCATCCTTCCCCCTCCTCTCCCCTCCTCTTCTTTGCAGGGCTGCTGCTGATTGTTCCTAGGGCCTTGTATGCTAGGCAAATACTCTCCCACTGAGCCATAGCCTCAAGCGCAGTACTATTCATTTTGAAGTCACAGCCTACTTGAAGATTTGTTTCCCATAACCATCCTCACAGGGATATTGTGAAACCAGCCTGCCCCGTTCCTTGGATACCAGTTGTCATATAGGGAGTGGTGGCAAGTCATGGCACTTGTGCCACAGTGGGCACACAGAGCCCTCTCTGTTGGCTTGCGAGCCAAGTCATCCCAGCACCATACCCGCAGCCAAGAGTGCAGGTTTAATTGTAGTGTTGGCACTGTGTGATAATAAATACCTGGGTTTTGGGTTGCAGCTTGGGCCCTTGGCCTCTGAAAGGTTTGCCATGTCTGAGATGGGGGGCTTTATTCTCATATTGCACAGAAAGAGAATGATTATTGGTCCTTTACCCCAGGTCCAAGCATACGGGCCAGGTTTGGAGAGAACTGGGTGCATTGTGAACAACCCAGCTGAGTTCGTCGTGGACCCTAAAGATGCTGGAAAGGCTCCCTTAATGATATACGCACAGGTACGTTTCTGGGGTTGTCAAATCAAAAGTGGGATGGTGGGTTGGTCAGTGGATTTGATCCGCAGCTTTCATTCTCATCCCTGTGTTGTTGGGAATAATAAGAATATATTCTGTCTCATGAGGTTACGTGAGGGTGGAGACTAACAGAAGCGAGGCAGTTTTCACGAACTTGATAGATCATTTGCATTCTGTGGAGAGAAGACTTGTTTCAGATTACCATGGGAGGTTTGTCAGGAGTTGAAAATGTGTTTATCTAATGTAATTGTCCAAAGAACTTGAGTATAAGGATTGCAAGTGAAAAGCACTGAGTGGCCGTGGCTCTTGTGGAGGGCCATGGCTCATAATAGTTGAAAGTAAATAAAGTGGGGTGTGTGGCATGCACCTGGAGTCCCATCCCTTGGGAGGCGAGGTGGGAGAGTCATTTGAGCCCAGCAGTGTGAGACCCACTTGAGCCACACGGTGGGACTCTGTCTCAAAAAACAACAAAGGATGTGGCATTTTGTTACCTGTTGTCATCGTGGAGCGAGGACGAGGCACTCTAGCTGCTCTACTAAGTGTCGCAGGTTAAGCGGGTAACCAACCCCTTGGCTGTCTCGGGAGGTCACAGTGGCCTACTTGGTAGAGGCAGTGTGAGGGCATCTCTGTTCCCAATTTTGGCCCTTCTGCAGGATGGGGAAGGCCAGCCAATCGACATACAGCTGAAGAGCAGAATGGATGGCACATACGCCTGCTCGTACATCCCAGTGAAGCCCATCAAGCACACCATTTCTGTGGTCTGGGGCGGTGTGAACATCCCACACAGCCCCTACAGGGTAGGTGGTGAGGCGAGTCCCGGCTGTCGTTTGAGAAAGTCTGTTTTATTGCCATATCTGGGCTCTGTGTCTGACATCCAAAGAATATATGAGGCGAGAGCCCATCCTTGGTGGGCCTTGAAAGGTGGAGTGGCCTGAAAAGCAGAGTGCTCTAGCCTGCCCTGCAGGGCTGTTGGCAACCATGTTTTGCAAGTTGGAGTATTTGCTAATTTTCTCAATGTCTTCGCTAGGTCAACATTGGACAAGGTAGCCATCCTCAGAAGGTCAAAGTGTTTGGGCCAGGCGTGGAAAGAAGTGGTCTGAAGGCAAACGAGCCCACTCACTTCACAGTGGACTGTACCGAGGCTGGGGAAGGTGAGAGCAGTCTTCACATAACCTAGTGATTATGGCTCCTTTGGGAAGAAAGTTCGTTTGATAATGTTTGGAAAACTGTGAACTTTGAACCAGGAAGTAGTCCATATGGATAGGTAATTGTTCACCTAATGAGCCTATGTCATGTTCTCGGTGATACCCTTCATCCCCTTTCCAAAACCTTGACATAACATCTTCCCTCCCTTAGGTTCTGTTGCTGTTTGGGAAGTGATTGTGCAGGACAGGCTGTGTCTTGTAAAGTGATGCTTTAATAAGCTGGTCTGTTCCAGGTGATGTCAGCGTTGGCATTAAATGTGATGCCCGGGTGTTAAGTGAGGATGAGGAAGATGTGGATTTTGACATTATTCACAATGCTAATGACACATTTACAGTCAAATATGTGCCTCCTGCCACCGGGCGATACACTATCAAAGTTCTCTTTGCATCACAGGTATGTGTTGGGGCCTGGGAGGTGACAGAAGGGAGTAGGAGTAGCCTGGCTTCTTTCTGCTGACATGAATTCATGTTTTCTTTTTGGTTTTTTAAAGAATAGGAAGGTATCTTACAACTGCTTGATGATTTTTCTCTGATTCCTTAAAACCAAGAAGGAAAAAAAAAATACCTAGAACTAAATTTTTACCACTTAATTACAGAAGTGAGGCAGTGTATTTAATGTTTAAAAGTAGGACAGAGTGGAGACAGATTTGTTGTACACTTTCATCTGGCTTCTGACTGAAACACAAATAACTGCTAGTCATGTTGTTCTTTAACCTCTTTGAAACAATAACTGTGGCCCCACCCTTAAACTTTTGGAGGGAGCGACGTTTTGAAGTGTCAGGTGTATGGTGTGATGATTGGGTGAGTAGCACCATGAAAACAGAGAGTTTGAAATTCTTATGATTTAAATTAACTTTACTTAATAACAGGAATCTCAGGAGAAAGTTTTGTGCCTAAAGGTTATTATGGTCTTGAGTTGACTTCACCTCTTTGCCTTTATTCTGTCTGCAGTTTGCTTTTTGAGGAATTATAATCATTCTGTTTCCGTCCTTGTGGTCCCCAAGCTTAGCTCCTTGGTGTTAACCTTCCTACACTCCCATAGAGTGACGTCAGTTTGGATTTTATTCTGGGTACTGTTCTTTTCATACACAGTGCCTGACACCTGGAGTGAAGGTTCAGAGTCCCCAGATTTGTTTGTGCTCTCAGGGCTGCAGGTGTGAGAAGCAAACTCTCGTGGCCTCACTAATGCTGGTGTGTGTAGACTTCACCCACATGCCATAGATGTGCTAAGGTTTGCCCTGTGTGTTTGGGCAGAAGGCTAAACACTGGCAGTATCTCAGGGGCTTTTCTTCTGAGACCGCATCTCTGCCACAGGAAATCCCCGCCAGCCCTTTCAGAGTGAAAGTTGACCCTTCCCATGATGCCAGCAAAGTGAAGGCGGAAGGCCCAGGGCTCAGCAGAACAGGTAAGATGGTGCGGGTGGGGCTCTCCTGTGTGCAGTGACACTGGGTGTGTTTGATCTAGACCTCGAGGGATTGGTCCTCACCCCTGGGCTCAGATGGAGGCAGGCACAGCATGCTGCCTCCTCACCGCCTGCTAAGGCCTAAAGCGGTGTCATGCAGTTGAACCTGTCCGACTGGTTCTAAAAGCGAAAGCCCTCCAGCTGGCCTGATTTCCCTCATGTCCCCATGTCCTTCTAGGTGTGGAGAATGGGAAGCCAACCCACTTCACTGTCTACACCAAGGGGGCTGGGAAAGCCCCACTTGACGTGCGGTTCAGCAGCCCTGTTCCTGGTGATGCGGTGAAGGACTTAGATATCATTGATAACTACGACTACTCACACACCGTCAAATACACACCTACCCAGCAGGTAGCGTCCTTCTTGTCCTCTGCTCTGGCTGGCCAGGCCTACACAGTGCTGGCCTCAGACAGTAGGGATGTGATTAGCATTAGGGGTGGCACCGCGCCCTGGGAGGTGGCTCACTGTGCCTTGCCTTCTGTCTCTCTCTGGGCACACTGACCAAAGCCTGGTAGGTGCTCTCCACACCACCTGCAGGATTCCTGAGGAGCAAGCAGGAAACCAGACCCACATCTCCCTCCATCTTGGGTTTCTGATTTTTAGGAGCTCAGGCCTACCTTTTTCTGACACACCCACATTTGCTCGTGCGTGTATATACAAACATTCTCTCCCTTCCTTTCCAGCTGCCTCTCAGTCTCTTGTTAATAACTCAGGGAGAAAGAGCTGCCACACTTGTATTTTTCCTTGTCAGCCCTTTTAGCTTAGTTTATGTTTACCTTTTTATGAGGTGTTTTATTGGGGGGTCTTTTCTCACAGAGCCAGTTCAGCCTTAGTCCCTAAGGCCTGAGGTGTTATTTGGGGCAGCAAATAATTGTTCCCTTTTACAAAATGTAGAAATTCAGGTTTGCTTTATCCTGATTACTTTATGCAGTAAGGGTCTAAAAAACAATCTCTTTATACAAGTTCACATTTATGTGTTTAAATTTTTTTTTTATACCGGGGATCGAACTTGGGCCCTTGCACTTGTGATGCAGGTCGTGGAACCACTGAGCTAAGTCCCTGGCCGTGTGTGTTTAAAACTTTTTAAAACTCATGTTTTGGTAGTGGAATATACATGACATTTACCATCTTAATCGTGTTAAAAGTGCCCTTCAGTGGTATTAATACAATGACATTTACCATCTTAATCGTGTTAAAAGTGCCCTTCAGTGGTATTAATACATTCACCGTGCTGTGCTGCCTCCACCACCTCTGTTCCCACCACTGTTCGTCTTGCAGAACAGAAACTGTACTCATTTTATTTGTTGAAAATTTTACTTTATTTCCTGTTCACACCTCAAGGTCCTGGACATAGATACCCTCGTGGAAAGGCCTAGATTTCAGTACTTACGCCTGATGAAGGGAAGGAGCCCCTGTGTGAGCCACGATGGGAGGGGCAGAACACTGAGCCTGGGCCCGCTGAGCAGGGGGACAGCGAGAGCGGGGGTGGGTGGCTTTGGCTGTTGTTCCCCTTTGGGGCTACACATCCTGGAGAGCGTGTCTCTTCTATGAGAATTTGCTGGGCAGTATAAGTAGCTTTCTGGTGCAGGGTCCAGTCTGTTGGTCTAGAAACATGGCCTTGAATCTCCAGGCTTGCCCATTCCTGTGCTTTTTAAAAAAAAATCCTAGGACTGGGAATATAGCTCAGCAGTGTAGGGTCTGCCACATAAGCACAAGACCCTGAGTTCGATTCCTGGTACCAAAAAAAAAATCCTAATGAGTGATGTTGTTTTTTTGGTACCAGGGATCGAACTCAGGTCCTTCTGCTTGCAAGGCAGGCGGCGGAACCACTGAGCTAAATCCCCAGCCCTTGTTTTGTTTTTTGAACAAGGTCTCACTGCGTAGTTCAGGCTGGTCTTGAACTCATGGCAGTCCTCCTGCCTCAGCTTCCTGAGTGCTGGGATTATAGGTGTGCGCCACCACACACAGCTGAGCGAGTCCTCCTGATATTTCGGTAGCTAGATTATTCCTTTCTTAGCAGCCTGCTCAGTGGTAAATAGGTAAATAATTTTCTTGCTAATGGTTCTGAGGGCTGGTGGGGCCTTCGTCGAGGACTGATGCCCATGGGTGTACCTTCTCCTGGTGGTTTTTGGGAATCGCAGGCCGGAACTTTGCAGAAGCAGCTCCTGGTGTTACGGGTGGGTGCTTCCCCTCAATGCAGACCGACTCCTCGCCTGCCTCAGCCCCGAGCCCCTGACTGCTGGCTCCTGCTTCTTGACCCCAGCAAGGCTGCTCTCCTGCTGGGCCCCGGGGTGATAGCTCTGGAGGGGACAAGTGATGTGTGGCCAGTGGGTGTGTCCGCCTTTGTCACCACAGTGCTCCTAGCTCTTTTTGCCTTAGAGGGGTGGACATGGTGCGTTGGAGCTTGAGGACTTCCCTGAGGTCAAAGGCCTGGGTTTTACAGAAAGGTGATGGCTTTGAACCCCAGCACAAAAAAAGAAAAGAAAAGAAAGAAAGAAAGATGATGGTTTGTTTTCCTGAGGACTTTGACTTCTGCCTTCTTTGGCTGTGGTTATCTGTAGCTTAAAGTTCTCACCTGAGGTTCCCCTGTCCAGAACAGTTTGAGACAGAGCTGGTGGCAGCAGCTCCATTACAGGCGGTGTGTGTTGGGAACCACTAGGAATCAGATACTCCATGTGATACCATCGTGCCTTCAGGAAACCAAGCAGGCTTACAGAACCTCGCGGGACAGCGGTCCCTGTCCAGAAATGTTCTTAGTGTGGTGGCCAGGGCTGCTCACAAAGGGCTCTGTTGGTGGCTCTCTCCATTCATCTTTTGTCAGGCCAGGGTCCTTGTGTACCTGTGTTTATCCGAATAAGGGTCAGATCTCAGAAGCATGTAAAATAAAACCACCATGCAGCCACCCACCTTGTGGAGAAATGATGCAGGTGGCCTAGAGAGCTCTCTCCTCACAGCCCTGTAGGGAAAAAGTATAATCCATTGCTGATCTGGGCCTGAGGTTAGGGGTGTGGACTGGAAATGCTAAACACACCAAGGGTATACATTTCTGAGGTTTTTTTCTTCTCCCTTGTTAGGTTATTTAAGATATAGTTAATTCCCTATCTGAGTTTTTGCATTGCTTTTGTGACAAGTAATGAGAAGATACTTTCTTTCATGGGATAGGTGGGCTTAACTTTTCCCTCTCTTCTTAGCACTTCAGAGAAGTGACCAGCAGACTTCCAGGAGTTGGGAGAAGGTTATTTCCTGGACTCCTTAGCCTCAAGGCTCGCCCTAGGGGGTAGGGGCAAACTGAGGAGTTGGCACCTTGGGAATTCCAAGGTGGATGAAGTCACGAATCAGTCTTTCATTAAACAGTTCGAGGAGACCTTTCCTGTCCCTTGGCTAGCTCTCAGCTCTGCTGAGTTTGACCGGTACACATTTTACCATGAAATGCTATACACTAGAGGTAGGGGGCCTGTTGGTTTTGTATGCAGTGTTAAAAATTCTGGGAAATCAATTCTTCCATCTTCATTGATACAATCACTTTTTTTCTTGGCTTTCCACCTTCCTTTTTTTTTTTTTGGTACCAGGGATTGAACTTGGCCCCTTGCACTTGTGAGTTAGGTGTGGGAACCACTGAGCCAAACACTGGGCCCTCACCTTCTTTACTACAAAAGGAATGTGAGAAAATATACCTATGCCAAAAGCTACATCCATTCAACACTTTTTTTTTTTCTTTTGGTACTGGCGATCAAATTCCGGACCTTGAGCTTTCAAGGCAGGCATGGTTCCACTGAGCTAAATCCCTGGCCCATTCAACACTTCTTTATCAGCAACAGCTTTTTGGAGGGCCTGAATGTCCCCGAGCCTGCTTTATGGGGAAGGGGGCGTAGGGGACCATCTCTTCCTCCATGCCCTGTAGGTTATGCCTGGGCAGGTGAGCTGGGGGACCTTGATCTTCTGAGTGACAGCAGGCTTTTACAGAGCCTTGGACTGTAGGGAGAGGAAGCTGGCCCAGAGGCTGTGGGAGGACAGCAGGGGGGCACAGGGCCCTCCTGATCCCACAGTACAGGGCACCTTTGCGCATGGAGCTTTTCTTTCCTTCAGAGGAAACAGCAGAGATACTGTGTGCTGCTTGAAGAAAGCACAGCTCCGCTCCTGGTGAACCTACTGCAAATCCCTTTTTGCATCCAGGTGGCCTGAAACCGATCCACAGGATGTGGAAAAACTGGTTGTGTTTGTTTGGTGGCCTGAGGCCCAGTGGCTGGAGCTGGCTGTGTGTTGGGTGGGAAGGTGGTGGGGCAGGTTAGGAAGGGCTCACACTTTCTAGATGTGTGAGGGAGAAGTTCCTTTAACCTTGCTGAGCCTTAGTTTCCTGTCTTGAAAAAATGGGGACAACAGTGGGAATGTTGCCTTAGGTCTGTTTTGAGACTGAATTGAGGAAATGAATAAAAGCGCAGGGCTCCACTGCTCACTACAGGTGAATGCTCGGTACATGCCCTGTGGTCATCAGCTGCTCTTACTGGATCTGATTTCTCTGTTGTTCTTGCCCTTGGTCAAAAGCTTGAAGAAATGCGTCAGATGCTTTCTAAATCCACTCTCTAGGAGGAATGAAGGGTCCAGAGGGCAGGTTGAAGTACCAAGCTTGTGTGCTGGCCGCCAAGAGTGTGCTCTTTCTCTCATTCCAGGGCAACATGCAGGTTCTGGTGACTTACGGTGGCGACCCTGTCCCTAAAAGCCCTTTCACCGTGGGTGTTGCTGCTCCACTGGATCTGAGCAAGATAAAAATCAATGGGCTGGAAAATAGTAAGTGTCCGGGGTGGCTGCTGTTTGAGTCCCTTCAAAAGGTGGAAATTACAGGGAAGCAAATGTGTCTTAGGTGTGGGTTTGAGTGAGGGCCATGTTACAAAGCAACTCTGCGACCCACCTGTCACCAAGCCTCAGCGAGACTCGTTTTTGTTTGTTTGTTTTGGTTTTTTTGAAACAGGGTCTCACTATGTAGTTGAGACTGACCTGGAACTCACTATGTAGCCCAGGCTGGTCTCGAACTCACAGCAATCCTACTGCCTCAGCCTCCCAAGTGCTGGGATGACAGGCGTGCGCCACCACGCCTGGCAAGACTAGTTTTTTCATTTGTACAGGAGGAGGGGCTGGGCAGGATGGTCACGAGCACGCCTGTGGGAATACTGTGACAATTAACGTAGAGGCCAGTACATAGCCTCCAATAACTGCTGTTATTGCTATGGGGCGTTTTCCTTAAAAGCTCATCTTTCAGATGAGTTTCTAACTATGCCAACCATCTTTGGCGTTTGAATCATATTTAGGTGACAGGCATGAAGGGAAGTCCCTGGCACCCAGAAACCACAACCACAATGCACCCCTCTCCTCTACCCTGTGTCCCCATCCAGGGGTCCTTTAGCTTGTTAGGGATCTCATCAGCTCATTTCATTTAGCATGTTGGCATGTTCAGTTTTTCTTTTTTCTTTTTTCCTTTTCTTTTCTTGAGACAGGCTCTCCTTATGTATCTAGTTCAAGCCGGCCTGGAACTCACGGTGATGTGATCTTCCTGCCTCAGCCTCCTAAATGCTGGGATTCCAGGTGTGCACCACCTTGTCCAGCTCAATTTTTTTTTAAATTGTGGAGCATTTCTTATATATAAAAGTAAAGAGTGGTTTCATACAAACACCGATGTACAATGCTCAGCCTCAGATGTTTCACAATGCCTATAAAATTATCTTTTATATAAGTCATATGTAAATCTATTTTCATTAAAAAAAATTACGGTTGAGTTGACTACATGTTACCCACCACTTCTCTCCCTTCCTAGGGCTGACCAAAATTCTCATTTCCACTCTTCCCTCCACACTTCCTGTCTGCGTCATAGGTGTGTCAGTAGAAGGCATTCAGCACTGTTAATCTTAGGTTATCCTAGGTTGTACCCGTACATCTTCAGCCTGCCTTTTCAAGTCAGCCATGTGTCTTGAAAACCACTCACACCTAAGTCCCTTCCTTTGCTGGTGGTCCCAGACTGGATGTACTTCAGTGGTGGTCACAGGGCCACCAGTCAAGCTGGGCAAATGCATACCTGGCAGATCTGCCGTGCCCTCTGTCCTGGCTCCTCCAGGGTCTCGGTAGTGGCCTTGGTGAGCACTTTTATTGACCTGGGACCCAAATGCACAACTGTGAACAAGGCCAGCTCTCAGTCCCGGAGTCTGCAGAGTGAGAGCTCGGTATGTTGGCTTCTGTGGCCAGGGGCGGCCAGCTCTGAGCATGTGAATGGTCACTGCTTAACTCTGTCACATGTCCCCATGCCACTCCTTGCCTGTGTACTCAAGAGATTTGACTTCTGAACAGGAAAAGCAGGGTGCCAATTAGGAGAAGCTTCCTGCCCTCTGGGATGCAGAGCTTCGAGATCCCTTGCTCATGAGTCCTCAGTGTCCATTTTGGCAGGCTCATTGCCCCAGAGTCAGGCTTCCTGGGCCATGGTGTGCTTTTGTTTTGCTTGAAGTCCTTTCCTTGTTTTTGTCAAGTGTAACACTGGGTTTCCTGCAGCCTTGTGGAGACCTTTCAAAAGTCGTCCAAGTCAGTTCTCAGGACTTGCCTTGGCCCATACCAGCTCTACGGCTTTGGCCTTCTTGGGGGAGGGGAGGGTTGGCTTTGGCTGGAGGATTGACTTTCCTGCCAAGAATAAGTAGATAAAACATGGACCTATGAGGCTGTTTTGATATGAGGTCAACATCAAAAGTGAGTAAAGAAAACAGCATCAGATACGTGACTCCCCAGAAAAAAAAAGATCATGGAGTTAGATAAACTTAGGCTTGAGTCCTACCTTTGTGTCCCGCCCGATATGTCTCACCCTAGCGGAGTTACCTAACCTCTCTGAGCCTGTTTGCCCATCTGCTACCATTTGTTAGTAATGCACACCCCTATGTTGGGGTGACGCATCAAATGAATTTAGTAAATGCTAGCGGTGATCACTGTTAATTAATCATTGTTCTTGTGCTGGTTCTTAGTAAGGATGGAATGTGCTGGTGCTTAGTCTCGATTGCCTTTTGTCCTCCTGCATCAGCTGTCGATTGTTGTAGAGGTTGAGATGTCCAAAGAGCTCATTTGCTGATTCTTGCTCCTCACTCTGTCTTGTTCCCTTTCCCAGGGATCGAGGTGGGGAAGGATCAGGAGTTTTCCATCGACACCCGAGGCGCAGGGGGCCAGGGGAAGCTGGACGTGACGATTCTGAGCCCCTCCCGGAAGGTTGTGCCATGCCTGGTGGCACCTGTGACAGGCCGGGAGAGCAGCTCAGCCAAGTTCATCCCTCGGGAGGAGGGGCTGTACGCTGTGGACGTGGCTTACGACGGACACCCTGTGCCTGGGAGCCCCTACACGGTGGAGGCCTCACTGCCTCCAGATCCCAGCAAGGTCAGCTTTTGTTTTTGTTCGAGAACTTGCCCTGTTGTCATGAAATATGACGCCATGGTCCCGTGGTCCTGCCTGGCAAAGACCTTTGGAGAGTTACTTCGTGGTGAACGTTAGTTCCCAATGGCTGACCGAGTCTCCTGTCAGGCGGAAGCATCCCCTGGCAGGTGGGGCACACCCATCCCTGCTCTCCCTGTCTGGCTGGGAGACTTTGGTGAGGGATTCCCTGTTGCCGAGTCCTTTGCCCTCATTTATTTGTATGTTAATGGTATTTGCTTCAAAGCCAGCTTATGGGGTGAGGTAAACGTGGAGGCTGACTGAGTTTGCCCTATAGAAGCTGTAACAACATATTATAAACAGATGTAACCCTCAATATTATTTCTTGTGCTAGCCCTGCCTTCAAGGTATTTCCACCAGTCTGAATGGCGTGAATGTGCAAAGTTGTCTCGTTTGTGAAATCAGAGATGAAGGCTTCATCCCTTCCTCTTTAAAAAAAAAAAAAAAAAACAGCTTAATTTTTGAGTACGCAGAATTTATTGAATGAGGTACAGCAGGCAGAGTTATATCGAAACTCATGAGAGCCCTTCTATGTTTGGATGAGCTCTTAGTTCTCAGGTGCCGCACTGCGGTTCAGAAGAGCCAGGACTGGGGGAAGGACGTTACCATCTCCACTCTTGTCCTGTGCCAACAGCCACGCCTCCGACCTGTACCTTTCACTTGAGTGCTCTTGAGTTATTTGCCACTTGAAGCATTGAGTGCGTTGTGGTGTGTGTGTGTGTGTCACTCAGGTGTATGTGTAAGGGACACTAGGGGCCCAGGAGGAAGGGCCACTTCAGCGGAGGTGGTAGTTGTGATGTGGATGGCAGGGCTGGCCGAGTAGCAGTGCCCAGCTGCAGGCAGAGTTTGACTTTTATTCTTTGTTGAACTAGGTGAAGGCGCACGGGCCTGGCCTTGAAGGTGGCCTCGTGGGCAAGCCTGCCGAGTTCACCATTGACACCAAAGGAGCCGGAATGGGAGGTTTGGGCCTAACCGTGGAAGGCCCCTGCGAGGCCAAAATCGAGTGCTCTGACAATGGCGATGGGACCTGCTCTGTCTCTTACCTTCCCACAAAACCCGGGGAGTACTTTGTGAACATACTCTTTGAAGAAGTCCACATACCTGGATCCCCCTTCAAAGCCGACATCGAAATGCCATTTGACCCCACCAAGGTTGTGGTGTCAGGACCCGGCTTGGAGCAGGGCAAAGTGGGTGAAGCCGGGCTGCTTAGTGTTGACTGTTCGGAAGCGGGTCCTGGGGCTCTGGGCCTGGAAGCCGTCTCGGACTCAGGCACGAAAGCCGAAGTCAGCATTCAGAACAACAAGGACGGCACCTACGCGGTGACCTACGTGCCACTAACGGCCGGCATGTACACGCTGACCGTGCAGTACGGGGGCGAGCTGGTGCCGCACTTCCCCGCCCGGGTCCGGGTGGAGCCTGCTGTGGACACCAGCAGAGTCAGAGTCTTTGGGCCGGGCATAGAAGGAAAGGGTAGGTCTCCTGAACAGGGGGAGGGCGAGCTGGGGTTTAAGGGCCACCTGTGGGGGCCAGGTGCTGCTTGGGCAGACTTACCTGCCTCAGGGAATTGGGACCAAGGTTGGGAGTGGGTACATTGCCTTTCCAGAGGCAGCTCAACTGCCCAGCTCTGTTTTTTGTTTCTCCACGGGCCTGGTGCCCAGCATTGTCAGCAGATTTTCTGGTTTCTGTGTCTGAGCCAGAAGTCTTGATTTTTTTTTTTTAATATGGGAACAACATTTTATTTACAGACTTGACTGAAAAAGTTTAAAATGTGGTGCTGGCTAACACTACATGTGCTACAGAACTGGACTGTTTTTATACTTTAATTTGTCCTGAATCCCCAGCTTTGTGTGAATAGTGGCTGCTCTAGAGCAGGTTGTCAGTCACTGCCCCAGCAGAGAAGCCAGTGCTGCTCTAGAAGAGGTTGTGTTGTCATTTGGCCAAGACGAACACTGCCTTGGAAGCAGGAGAGGGCGACTAGTCAGTCACCTTCCTGTTTCCGAGGCAAAATACCTGACATGCACAACTTCCAAGAAAAGGTTTATGATGGCTCATGGTTTCAGGGGTCTTAGTCCGTCCATGATTGCCAGGTTACAAGACAGGAGCAGCAGGCAGAGGAAAGCTCATAGCTGTGGCAGCCAGGAATCGAAAAGAGCAGGAAATAGAGAGAGAGAGAAAGCAACCAGAGACAGAAATCAACCCTTCCAAGTTGTGTCCCAGAACCTGCTTCCTCCAGAGAGGCCCCACCCCCAGCAGCCCATTCAGTTACAAATTCATCTGGGAAGTAATCCATTGATGAAGTTACTGCTGCAGGGCGCGGTCACCTTCCAAAAGCCCTACCTCTAAACGTGTGAGCCTTTTAAAGGACTTACTTGATCCAAACAATAACAAGGTTAAATTTGTGATTCTGAGAATCTGGGAAACCAGTTGTTTGCTGTCCCAGAAATGAGATTTTATGTGTCCCAGGGCTGAGAACCTTGGTTTTGAGGTTTGCTCCTTGGTCCAAGGTATCTGTGATGTTCTCATCTGTGTGGTTGCTCTGCAGATGTATTTCGGGAAGCCACCACTGAATTCACAGTGGACTCAAGGCCCCTGACCCAGGTGGGGGGTGACCACATCAAGGCCCACATTGCCAATCCCTCGGGAGCCTCCACTGAGTGCTTTGTCACGGACAACGCCGATGGGACCTACCAGCTGGAGTACACGCCCTTCGAGAAAGGTAAGTCGTCCTGTCCTCTGATGTGACCCGGTCCGGAGCTGCACTCCGCTGTTCCCTCCCAGTGGTGTATGCCAACTCATGGCCCGTATGCTGGGTCGGTCTCAGTAGAGGCACAAGCGAAGCGATAAGGACGTGTGACACCCCCTTCACAGCAGACCACCTGTCTGCCCAGCGCGTGGCCTGCTGGCCTCGTGTCATGGGTGGGCTGGGGCTTAGCCTCCGCCTCCCCTGAGGAGGTGAGGCTGTGGTATGCTTTCATTTGCGCTATTTTTACTGTGTATTTATTTCTTGGCTGTTAGGATAGACCAGGACTAGATGATTTCAATAAATAAAAAAATTCCAGTCCCATCTACCCCTGCTACCTGGATGATCCCTATAAATATTTGGGTATACTCCCCACCCCATACTGGGAAATGAACCCAGGGCCTTCACACAGAGCTACATCCTCAGCCCCCTTTTTTACTTTGTATTTTTAGACAGGGTCAGTCTTGTTAAGTTGCCACCCTGTCCAGGCTGGATTCAAACTTGCTATTCTCTTGCTTCAGCCTACCACGGTGCTAGGATAACAGGTGTACACAACATACCTTGCAAGATATTTTCAGTGTATTTGTGGATGCGAATCTTTTTTATTTCATGAGTTTCCCGTTGTATATTGGATGATGGCCGGGTGGGGTTTGCTCAGATCAGGATAGTGTGCTGCAAACGACTGACTTGAATAGCAGCGTAGTGATGGGGGCTTGCGGTGGGCCAGCCGCGTTACGTGACTGTCAAGTGAACAGAAAGTATTGAAAGACAGTAGTTTTTAAAAATCAGATTGCACCAACTTCATTTATTTTTTAATCTGCCTTTTCACCAGTGACAAAGAGCTGCACATATAGTGGAGTGCTAGATAAATCCCATAACTAGAGTTGCTGCCCCCAAACAGACGCTTCTGTTTGTTTTGCACAGGTGTCCACGTAGTAGAGGTGACGTATGATGATGTGCCCATTCCCAACAGTCCCTTCAAAGTGGCTGTAACTGAAGGCTGCCAGCCATCTCGGGTCCATGCCCAAGGTCCTGGACTGAACGAGGCCTTGACCAACAAACCCAATGTCTTCACTGTGGTTACCAGGTAGGCACTGTAGTGAGTAACCCTGGGTCATTTAACTGCTTTCAAAAGTGCCCCCCACCCTAAGGCTGTGCCGTACATTTGTGTCATGGTGTCTCTACTTTTATGAGAAGTGTTTCTTCAATACTTAGGAGATTTTCTTCTTTAAAGCTATGTTACAGAAAAAGATGAGATATACCTACAAACTTATCAAAAAGTTCTTCATCGTAGTCATAAAAGTGCTCAGCCAACTAGGACTAGATGGAAGCTTCTTGATTTGAAAATGCAGAAATGTATAGCCAATCTCATATATAAATGAAATGCTGTTAATATTCCCTTGACTGCAAAAAAGACCAGATGTGTGGCTCAGTAGTAGCGCACTTGCTTAGCGTGCACAAGGCCGCGGCTGTGGGGAGACCACTCGGTTCAAACCTGCATTATATTTGCAGTCCTAGTCAGTGCAGTTAGGTTTGTAAAGCAAATAAAGGACAAGTACTGGGAAGGAGAGGTCAAGCCTGATTTATGTTAGACTCCTGAGAAATTCTCTGTGTTAAGAGATGGTGTCATGTTGAGTCCGGTTGGCTAAATGGGATAGTTTATAAAGGGGCTATTTATTTTTGGTACTGGGGATTGAACTTGGGACCTTGTGTTTACAAGGCAGGTGGTGGAATCACTGAGCTAAATCCCCAGCCCCACCTCCTCCTTTGGTACTGGGGATCAAACTCTGGACCTTGAGCTTACGAGGCAGGTGGTGGAACCACTGAGCTAAATCCCTGGCCCTTATTTTTTATTTATTTTTTGAGTCAAGTACTCATATGTAGTTCAGATTGGCCTTGAACTCACTGTGTAGCCCAGGCTGGCCTCAAACTCCTGATCTTCCTACCTCAGCCTCCCTAGTGTTGGGATTACAGGCATATTCAACCATGCCTGGCTTATAAAGAGATTTTAAATGAATTCTGACAATAACTAGGCTAGCATGGACTGTGTGTGTTTCACTTTGCCCCCAACCCTTTCCAGAGGGGCAGGAATTGGCGGACTTGGAATAACTGTTGAGGGACCATCAGAGTCAAAGATAAACTGCAGAGACAACAAAAATGGCAGCTGCAGCGCTGAATACATTCCCTTTGCTCCAGGAGATTATGACGTTAATATCACATATGGAGGAGTCCACATCCCCGGTAAGTGATCTCCTCCCTGACTGTCCAGAGAATAACATGATTTTGCATGAAAACAGGTGTAATTTTGCTTATCACTCAGGTGTTTGTGGCAGATGCAAAAGGAGAATTTTCCGTAGGTATCTTACCCCCAAAATATCCCTAACTCCCAGTCGGACCAGTAAAATGACAGAAAGCATTGACTTAGACTTTTTGTTGGAAATGATTGTTCACATGTTGGAAGATCTAGCTCCTGATCAAAGGGAAGTCTGGTTCTTCCTATTTATTTATTTTTGTACTGGGGATTGAACTCAGGACCTTGTGCTTGCCAGGCAGGCACGGTACCACTGAGCTACATCCCCATCCTGGAAGTCTGGTTCTTTACAAAGTTGAAAATTCTACTTTATTTTGTACTTAGTTCCTAATTACCTCACATATGTATCCTGTTTTCTTTTTTCCATTGACAGTCCTGGTAGCTGACACTAAGTCAAATTCCTATTAATGTCTATTTAATGAGGTTGTGTATAGTTACATAAAATAAGAGTTTCTCAGCCTCTGTACTATCCACATTTGGGGCAATACAATTCCTTGTTAAGAAAGGCTGTCCTGTACATTGTAGAGCGTTGGTCAGCATCATTGGTCTGTATCCACCGGATCCTGTAGAAAACTCCCTCTACCCCTGTATGTGACAACCTAAAATGTCTCTGGATATTGCTGTATGTCCTTGGGCAAGCCCCCCACCCCGTTGAAAATTATTGCTGTGAGGATTGAAACCATTAAGAAATGCAGGAAAGAGAAACTCTAAATGTGAACATAATTTAAAGAGCAAAATAAAGGATAGATGATAGGAAACAGGAAGGTGGTCTTCGTGGAGATGAGAAGGGGATCTGGGATGGGGGCATTGGAGGGCGGGGAGGGGAAAGGGAGGTAAAAATGACTACGGTGTGATATATGTGTGTATGTGTACCAGTTCCTCAAAATGAATGTATTGCAGACATGCACTAATGAAAAAAAAAAGAAATGTGTGATGTAAGTAGTGAAGCTTCTTTGTTTCAGGGAGAGGAGTCGCCACAGGCTCTAGTCCTGTTTGCTTAATAGAGTGACCACGCGTGCATGTGCACGCACACACACACACGCACACACACACGCACACTGCAGGTCCCTGAGTGTGCCGTGGTGCAGAGGCTCCCGGTCCAGGGATTCCTGGGCTGTCTTGGTGGTGGTGAGAAGAGCAGGAAGAACCTCACTGGCTCATGGATTCTACCCTATCAATGGGGCAGTGCTGAGAGAGGAAGGGGCAGGCTGAGAAGCTCCCTGTTGGGTTTCTGGATTGACTTGCAGGGAGCTGGAGTGTCCACTGACCCCTCAACTTTTCCGATTCTGTCCTCTTTCTCTTCTTGCTGTATGCAAACTTGCATGCCTGTTCACGGTCACTATCTTTCTCTCAAACAGATCAGAAAGCACTGACATTCAGTTCAAAATAATTTTACCCAGATGTCCATACGAGCCTTAAGTCTTTCCAAGTGACAAGTTTCTCATAAAACTTGTACTTGCAGCTCATTCAGTATAGATCTTTAAAATTACTATAATCATTAATCTAGGCAGTTTCATCCAAGAGCCACACAAAACTCCTGCCCCCAAGAAGCTTGCTGTCCAGCATTCATAAAACTAAATGCCTAGTGTTTTAAAACTAAAACTTGTAGGACCTGCTCCAAAGAAGAATGGAGCTAAGTGACAAAACAGTCTCTTGGAGTTTTTCCTTACCACAGTGCTGGAAACGAGAGAGAGTTCAGTGTGAAGAATGGGTGGATCGCTTTTGTCAGGAGAGATGCTGCAGTAGCTCCAACCATGTAGGCAGCGGTAGGGTGAGCACCTCCTGGCTGTGGCAGCAGCAGAGCTGTTTCGTCTCTTGGGAAAATGCTGGATGCCATCAGCCTTGGAATTCCCCTGCACAAGGGGTGAGAGTTTGAGCCCTTGCTGGCTAAGCTGTGAGTGAAACACAAAGGGATATTTTTGAGTGCAGTAATAAAGACTGACTTGCATTTTTGCCTCACATATGGACAGTTTGTTTCAGTCTTTGTGGCCTCCTGGAACTGAATGCCAACTTTTCTTGGCAGTAATGTCACAGCTGTGCCAGGCAGAGAAATTTAAAGGTGCTGGGTTATTGCCTTCATGTCAGGCTACTTAGTTAACTCGTGAGGTACTGAGACAGTGACCTGCTAGCTTCTAATTTGTTTTGTTAGGGATTCTGGGTAGTTAAAAATGATCCAGTGTATCCTGGCCTCATACATATTTCCCATGGGATAATTTTAAGCTATGTCTTGTTTCACCCGTAATGACTTACTGGTTTCCTGTGGTGGGCCAGCTGTGGTCTGTGGTAGGTGCCTGGGCCACTGGTTGACTGGGATTCAGAGTGTCAGGAAGAAAGGATGCTATAATCGATTAGTGATGTCTGCCTGGAGATAATACTTGGTGCCTGCCATTTTGGACCTTAAGTTTATCTTAGCTTTGAATGTTGCTGTGTGGCTTCTCTCTTGCTGAGTTCAGACAACTTCCAATAGAAGTGTCAACATAGAGACTGGCCTTAGAAGTAGTCTGTGGTCATCACCTGTTGACATTAAACTCTTTCAACTGTCACTCAGTAAAATAAAGTTCATTTTTGTTTCTCTAAACCCCAGCATGATGGGCTGTGCTCATCTTGGCCAGCATCAGCCATTTTTTCATTTAGCTGAAAAACTTTGATGTCATAGAAACAGCTGTTTTTAGGAAGCCAGGGTCTCAGTTCTTTGTGCATGGAGCCCCTTGGCAGTGTCTTGGCAGCCCTGGGCATAGTGCTGGGAATGCTGGGGCTGCTGTTTCTTAGGATATCCTCATCTGTGGGGAGTCCCCTTAAGGTTCCTGGCCCAGCCCTTGTTTCTCTGTTTCATGCTTTCTCACAAATCCTGACCTCCTTGTATTCTCCATGTGTCGTCAGTCTTTAAAATTGACACTCAGAAAATGAGAGGCCCTCCGGATCCCCCATGAGGTCAGCTATGCTGCAAGGCCACAGCTTACTCTGAGGCAAAAAGCAAGGTTTCAACTGATTGCCAAGGAACCAAGACGGTCATGTGTGGCCAGGAGGTACTGCCTTCATATGAGGGAGCTAAGTCCAGGGGACCCTCAGAGATAATTTGTGAGAGTGGAAATAGGAGATACGGGCTGCAAAGCCTCCCCTGCCTGCCTTCTCCATTCCTCTCTGGTGTCCTCCCACAGCGCAGCTTCCTCCTTCAGTTCCAGTCTTTCCCCTCCTCACTAGGCCTCAGCACTCGCTGGTCCTGTGGCTGGGAGCACCACTCCTTCTGATGCCCTGGGTGACTGCTGTTCCCTCTTAAGTCAGCTTAGATGTCACTCATAGGCCTTCACTGTCTCCTAAGTGCTGCCTCCTGTACACCTCTCAGCACGTATTACCTTGGATATTAGAGAGTCGTGCTTACACCGTCCTCCTGCACTGGGTCCCTTAAAGGCTGCTGGCCATCGTGGGTCCTGAACCTGGCACAACATCTGCACGCAGTAGGTGGCAGTTGTTGAAAATGATCCAGGAGGCCATGCGGTGAGACAGGAGCTGCCTGAGGCCTGTATAATCAAGGCCCAGAGCAGTGGCACTGTCTGGGTATGTGCAGTGCAGGGCTCCCACTGTTCAGTGCTCAGAGCCTATGACTTCTTTTCCAGGCAGCCCATTCAGAGTTCCTGTGAAGGATGTCGTGGACCCCAGCAAGGTCAAAATTGCTGGCCCTGGTCTGGGCTCTGGTGTCAGAGCCTGCATCTTGCAGTCTTTTACAGTGGACAGCAGCAAGGCCGGCCTGGCTCCCCTGGAAGTGAGGGTTGTGGGCCCCCGAGGTGAGTATACATCCTACCTCCCTACCCGGACTCACCCACTCCAGCCGGAGGGCTGGGACCTTGAGCAGGTGCTGGGCTTTTGAGTGTGATTGCGAGATAAAATTTACGTTTCTCAGATTATTTTATTGCTCTGTCATCTAGCCACATGTTAAGAAGATCCTATTTATAAGTAGGCTGCTTGGGCTGGGGATTTAGCTCAGTGGTTCCAGCACCTGCCTCGCAATCACAAGGTCCCAAGTTCGATCTCCAGTACCAAAAAAATAAATGAATAAATAAAAATAAAAGTAGGCAGGCCTGAAGGCTGGGGATGTAATGCAGTGGCTTCACACCTACCTGGCAAGCCCAGAGTCCTGAGTTTGATTCCCAGTACCACCAAAAAAAAAGTATGCAGGATTGATTGTAATTTCTCTAAAAGTCTGTCTTTTCTCTCCTTAATAACACAGTCCTGGATTCCTTTTTATAGTTTCAATTTTTAAGTAGCTAGTTGAAGCAAGTAGTATTTGGATTGTCATATGTAATACTGAGCCGACTGCTTTATTACCTATTTCAACATTTGTGGGGTGCCTGGGAGTGATCTGAATGTGGGGATTGGAGGGGGCAGTTCTCTTGGAGAGGCTTCAAGTGGAATATAGGAGAACCCCTGGGAATGCCAGATATAATCCCAGCCCCCGGGAGCAAGAGAGTCTTTTGGAGAAAGGGTTTTGTTGGCAGCCTGGAATTTAGGATCGGTGTGGCTGGCAGGTCATTTGGGGACAAACCCCTGAAGTGTGTTAGAATTTGCCTTTTTTGGTGAACAAACATTTCCTCTTTGTGTGTCTTAATTTCTTAAATAATCTGGATTTTTCTTCCGTGATGTATTTTTGACCTCTAGAAGTGGCCAATACGGACTTCCTCCTTTGAAGAGGAGAACCTTCTTTTTAATGGGGTTCAACACGAGGTTAAGGCTTTTGAAGCTCAGGGAAGAAGTGGTTTGGGAGAAATGAGGTCATGGATCTGGAATCTGATTCTATGAAATTTTTGAACCTCAGGATGCGTTGGGGGAGCGTGTGGAGCACGGGGAGAAACTTTACTAGATATCTGCCTCCATTATGGAGTATTCACCAGTAACAGCCTTTTAATTTTAGCGGATGAGATGGATTCCCAGTCATGGCGCAGCCCCCTGAAAGCCATTTCAGAGTTCTTTAAAGGTGACCTGAAGGGTGACTTTATGGAGACAGGTTTGCATTTTCCCATTAGCTGCTGATTTAAATTATGTAAACTGAATGCTTCTTGCTGTCCTCCCCTCCGAAATCAGTGGGTTCCTGCCTCATCTCTTGGCTTAATGAGCATGCCGTGGCTTAATGAGCATGCCGTGCTTTGATTAACCTGTCCTGTCATTGACCCATCCTCGGTCCTCATTTGAGAGCTGGGATCCGAAGTCCATTGGCCCCGAGTGTGCCTTGACTGTGCTTTATGAAGCGTCTAAGTATCCCCCATGGGCGCCACACTGAGAGTTGCTGGCTCCTTGAGATTGGTCACTCACTTGCCTGGTACCTGTACCCCAGCGTGCTGTCATCATAGTGGATTCTGCTCCCAGGTGGCCACAGTTTTGACTGGCCATCCCATTGGTTAATGTTTGCTGTTCAGGGTCTGGACTCTGACACTTTCTCAGCTGTGGAGTAAAATTGCCACATCCCAACATGCCTAACCAGCTTGTAAGGACATAGTGTGTCTGTAGCTTGCACCTTCACCGTACAGCCTCCAGCAGCAATTATGGGCAGTCTCCTTAATTATACTCTAGGGCATTCCGAGTGTACTGAAGCCAACAGAGAGCTAAAGGTGTCTCTTGGGGTCATCTCTGCAGCCATGAATTGGGCTCCTCTGATTTCTTAGGCCTGTGATTATGGCCTGCTTGCCTTTGTGTTACTCATCAATGGAAACCAGTCGCTCTCGGGGATGGATATGATCCTGGTGCAGACTCAGCCAAGGCTGGAGTGAAGAGGAGGCCAGGGAGTCTCGCTCAGATCTGTCATCTCTGTCCTCAGGCCTGGTGGAGCCCGTGAACGTAGTGGACAATGGGGACGGCACACACACCGTGACCTACACCCCATCTCAGGAGGGGCCTTACATGGTCTCAGTTAAATATGCCGACGAAGAGATCCCTCGGAGGTAAGTGCCTGGCCCTTGAGGGATGGACCCAAACCAGCTGCAAGCGCGCCCAGCTGCGGATTGGCAAGCAGGCTCCTGTTGCTCACCCATTCTTCCGTTCCTCGGCAGATAGTCCCCAAGACCTGCCAGCCCCACACCTGTGTTGTCATACACTCACCTTGCTGTATGTGGTTCCGGCCCTGCTGTCCCCCACTTTCATCCATCCTTAGTTTATAAAGGCAAGCTGACATTAGAACTTAGGGGTCTTTGGAGACCTCCCAGTAGTTTTCTGATTAAAACAAAGGTATTTCTCCCTTCCCTTGATGGTGGCATTCTCAAAAGACTCCGGGTGGCAGCCTTGTACCCCACTTCATATTACTACATAAAAATCTTGCGTGAACCTCTAAAAAATCTTGTGGAACCTCTAAACGTTGTTTTTTGTTTTTTTAAATCATACTCGTTAAGTTGGAAGTTTTACCCATGCCCTCTATATACGTTTCATATGGAGATTGACGCATTTAACTTTAGCTTTGTAAAATATGTAATTTTAAAATTACATTTATAATTTGCTTTACTAGTACATCAGGTACCATATAAAGCATATTAAATACAGAATAAGAATAAAGCAAGAGAATGAGATGAGATAAAGTTTTTTCCATTTTGGTGACCATTGTCTTGGCATAGCAACACTGGCTTAAATGTGTTTAACTCATGTTTCTCAAACTAGTTTGGGAACCCTTCTTCCTCTGTGTCCTGTGGAATGCACTCAGGCCAAGGCTGGCCTGTCACATGATAGCTTCTACCTCGTAATTCTAAATTGCAGTTGGACTCATGGCCCTTTGATCTAATTCACTGTCTCCTCTGTAAAACCGTCCTTTGAGTCCCAGTCTCTCTGACAGAGGTGAGATGTGGCTGGGTTGACATGTTACCTTACTGACCAGGGTCTTTGTGTCTGTCAAGTCCCTTTAAGGTCAAGGTCCTTCCCACATATGATGCCAGCAAAGTGACAGCCAGTGGGCCTGGCCTCAGCTCCTATGGAGTGCCCGCCAGCCTGCCTGTGGAGTTTGCTATTGATGCCAGAGATGCCGGGGAAGGCCTGCTCGCTGTTCAGATCACGGTAATGTTCAGTCATTTTCTGGAGCCATCCTTATTAGCAAAGCCTAACTTCCTCACAAGTGCAAGGTCATGAGTTCAATCCCTGGTACCCCCCCCAAAAAAAAAAAATCATAAAAGCAAAACCTAACTTCCTGGCCAGGGTTAAGAACAAGGGTTTTAATAACCAATTTCACAAAGATTAGCTCTCTGAAGAGTTAGTAGCTATGAGAGAGAATAAGCATATGTACCTGAGAGGTTTGAGGGTATAGCTCCAGACACCACTTTGTGGTGAATTTCATGTATTTTGCTTTTACAACTCTTCTGTGTTTTTATTTTTAAGGGATGGAAATTTCCTCTTGGATCAGTTAGGACCTTGCTGTGTGTGGCTCCTGTCCTTAAGGTCTCCTCGTGGCCCATGAGGCTGCCATGAGATCTATAGGAAGGGACATGAGTGGCCTCTCAGTCCAATCGGCTGTCTTCCGCAGCCCAGTCAGGATTTCCTCATTGTCCAGCCATCCCATTTGGTAGAAGTTAGTCATGAATGTTGTGGTTGTACCTGATGGCAAGCAAGGATGCCAGGATGGGAGCTGTGTGTTCACCCAGCTAAGGAGGGTCCTGTCGGCAAAGGAGAACGGGGCGGTGGATGTGGTGCTGTGTACGCTGGAGCCACTGCCGCATATACCCCTGTGTTTGAGAGCACATGGAGCTGAGACAGGACGTGTTCACTTGACAGACCATCGCGCTAGCATTGTCTGTGACCCACGCCTCTGCCTAGCCAAACTAGATTGTAGTAAACTGTTACTTCTGTGACCTCCCATTAGAGAGGCTCATCAATGAACAGAGTATGTTAAGGTTTTCCATGAAAGGCTTCTGCATGTTAACAACAGAACACTAAACTCTGTGATCCACAGGACCAAGAAGGAAAACCCAAAAGAGCCACCGTCCATGACAATAAGGATGGCACATACGCTGTCATGTACATCCCTGACAAAACTGGACGCTACATGATTGGGGTCACTTACGGCGGGGATGACATCCCCCTTTCTCCTTACCGCATCCGGGCTACACAGACAGGCGATGCCAGCAAGTGCCTGGCCACAGGTGAGTGCAGGTGGCGTCAGGGTCAGGAGTGTGGGCTTTGGCCCTCTCTGCTCACGCAGTAGCTGTGTGATCCAGGCAAGTTTCTCAGTCTTTCTGAACTTCAGTCACACTCAGATTGAAGACTTTTTTAGAGGGTGGTGGGGAATTCAGATCCAAGTGTGGTCCAGGATGGGAGACTGTTTCACAGAGTTATTGCAAAGATTTGATGGAGGTCAGGCCAGAAAAATGCTGAGCACAGTGCCGGGCGCACTGTAGCTTTGAGATCGCTTCTGAAGTGGGTACGTTTGTTGAGGCATCAACAGTGATGACACCCATGAGAAGCAGCAGACTTCTGCCTTGGTGAATACAGGGTTCAGTTCTTCAAGAGTCACCCGAAGGCAATTCAGGTCAGCGTGAGAGAACCACATCAGAGGGTTCAGGGTTTTCCTCGGGAATCCTCGTGGATCATTGAGCCTCGCTGCTCATTTTCTAGATAGGACCAGGTGACCGGCGCCACCTTTCAGTCTCTAAGAACAGCTCCTGAAGCTTGGGGGCGCTGCTCAAGGAGACTGTAAAACATGAACCCCCACCTCTGAAATGAAACAGATTTGCTTCTCTTAAAAAACAGAATCCACTCCTGAGTCCACCCTGCTATGTCCTGTTTCTCTCATCTTTTTCTGGCATCAGGGCAAGGTGGTGAATTACTCTGCTGAGCTCTCCCTGTCTCATCTGTGGCAAAAATTGCAAGTCCTGAGCAGAATGCTATTCAGCCTGGAGGTGCCCATCCACCTGTGGGCCTGTCCTCCAATGCCTTCCACAAACGGGCTCCACTTTTCTCTTCTACCTCTGACAGTCTAAACAAACGTTCTTATCACTTCCTCTTGCTCCTGTACTTGATTTTATTTTTTTCAATGCTTGGCTTTTTCACTGAGCTATATTCCCGGCCTTTAAAAAATTTTTTTAGATTAAAAATCATTCAAAACAAAAACTTTTAAGGTTTTGAGACAGTCTCACTAAGTTGCCGAAGTTGGGCTTGAACTTGCCATCCTCCTACCTCTGCCTTGTCCCACGCTCTTTGTTTACCCATGTGCTTTTAGCTCATGCTTTTCTGTATTCCCTGATTTTTATATCACTCCTTTATGAAGAGATTCTATAGGTGAGAGAGAGAGAGAGAGAGAGAGAGAGAGACTGGTTGTTGTTTGGGGGAAGGTAGTAAGGATTCCCTAGCCAAACATCCTTTCAAGTTTTCCTTTTTGTAAAGCCCTCTGTCAGTGTGGCGACCCTGTGGTATAAATTCTTAGAACCTTGGGGGTGGGTGTGCAGCAGAACACTTCTCAGGGGAGCAGTTGGTTCCATTTTCTGTAGCACAGTCTCTCCTTGGCGTTGTCATGCCGGCTGTGCTGGTCCCCCTCCATCTGCCCTAGTAGACGGCTGCTTGTTACACGTACCTGGCACTTGAGAAAAATGCCCGGTCTGTTTGCTGAAGACCAGAGACCTTCACCTCCCATAGCCTCGGCTGTGGGCAGACCAGGGCCAACCTCAGTGGGCCCTGGGGAGCCCTCAGAGCTTGCAGGTGCCCTTATGTATTAAGGGACTCAGGGTCTGCCCTCCTGAGCAGCACCTCTTCAAGTGACCTTCAGGATGTCCCTCTGTTGCAGCAGATAAGTGCGATTGTTCTCGGGACCACACGCCCTTGGCTGAGGCTTCCACTATCTTCTCAACTTTCCCCCAGGCCCTGGCATCGCCCCCACTGTGAAAACTGGCGAGGAGGTGGGCTTCGTGGTGGACGCTAAGACTGCTGGGAAGGGGAAAGTGACCTGCACGATTCTGACCCCGGACGGCACTGAGGCCGAGGCTGATGTCATTGAAAATGAAGACGGCACCTATGACATTTTCTACACGGCCGCCAAGCCGGGCACCTACGTGATCTATGTGCGCTTCGGCGGTGTCGATATTCCCAACAGCCCCTTCACTGTCATGGTAAGTGGAATTCCTTCTCCAGACCTTGCTGCTGGCATCAGGTACAGTAACAGTGGCCAGCTGTGGGACCCTGACTGGGGCACCCCTTCCATACCGCCTTGCAGAGCCCTAGCCTGATCTCAGAAGCACAGAGCCCTTTGCCTCTGAGGGAATTTGGACCAAGGTTTCTGTGTGGTGAGAGACACAGGCAGTGTGCTGACCTAAGCCTGGTTCAGAAAGAGATACGTTCCAGAAAAATGTCCTTTCACAAAACAGTAAAGAAATGTGACAGTTTTCACTGTTAGCTCTTCCTGCATACCCCTGCTACATGCCTGGAGAAAAGAGGGTCTCGATGCTCTTTCATCAATAGACTTGATTCTCGTATCTCAGGACAGAAACTTCCTTTAATTGTGATTTGGAAGAGATTCGCTTTCTATGTGAAGGGGAATACTGTGTCCTGGAGCTAGGAACGCCTGAAACGGAAGGGAACCGTCATGTGACTATCTGGGCTGGCACATAACTAGAGTCCTTAAGACCTGAGCACTGAGCTACACCCCCAGCTCTTCATAGTTTTTATTTTGACACAGGGTCTCACTAAGTCACTGCGTTGTCCAGGCTGAGCTTCGCCTTGTGATCCTCCTGTCTCGGCCTCCCAGAGTGCTGGGGTTACAGCCATGTACCACCGTGCCTGGCTTAATTTTCAATTCCAGATGACTCTTAGGTCTGCCTCTGATTATTAAGTCTTCCACCAGGAGCGGAGTAGACGCCTAGGAGAATTACTTCTTGTCACCTCCAGAACCAGCCCTGTTGGCACATGTGTCCCCAGCCCCCTTCCCATGTCTGAGGCTGAGCGAGAGCAGCCACCTTCCCTCCATGGGTCTCTGGGCTCCCGATGACCCCACCTCCTCCACAGCCTGCGAAGCACCTTTTAATTATTTCATGATGTGCAGCGATGGAAAAGAATGAAAGGTTCCATTCCAAACAGAAGCCCAAGGACTTTCTTCCAAACAGCTGACAAACTGTTGTAACTTTTTCCCTTTCCCTTGACGTTAGTTTATTAGTAAACATCATGGCAGAGGACTGGACATGGCTCATTTATATCTCAAGTATGTAAACACTTGTCAACTTTCGATGTTTTCCATTTGGGATTTTTTTTTTTTTTTTTTTTTTTTTTG